GTATTTTTGGCCTCTCTTAAGGAGAATAACAAGAGATTGCTGCAGAAAATACATTTGAGAAGATAGCTAAGTATTCCTGGGTTTCGGGGAAGACATAAACTTAGAACATTCAAGAATATCAGCAAAACATTTGATAAAGCATTCTTTCATGATAAAAATCCCTAACAATTAAGGCAAAAGAAATATGCTTCAACATAATAAAGTAATATATGACAAACCCACAGCTAATATACCCAGTGGTGAACAATGAAATCTGTCCCTTTTATGACTGAGAACAAGTCAAGGATGTCCCTGCTGCCATTTTTATTCAGCAAATACTGGAAATCCTAACCAAAACAATTAGGCCAGAAGAAGAAATAAAGAGGGTCCACTTTGAAAGGCAGAAATAAAATCATCCCTGTTCACAGATTATATGATCTTATAGGTACAAAACTCCAACGACATCACTCACACAAAAAATCCTACTGGAATAGTAATAATTTAACAGCAGTAATAATCCTATCAAGTTTAAGGATACAAACTCGACACTAAATATCAGTTGCATTTGTTTACACTAAAGGCAAACTATCTGAAAAAGAAATTACAAGAATTCCCACTTATAATAGCATGAAAATATTAAAATACCTGGGAGTGAAGAGAATATGATCTAGGAGGTGAAAGATCTGTATGCTTTCAGATATTATGGCTATAATCCATTTTGCCCAGTTTCATTCTTCTGCATATGCAGACCTGTTGTGCCAACACTATCTACTGGTCCCACTGTCCTTTCCCTATCATGTTTAATGAAGATCAACAAACTACAGATTCCTTATTTCTTGGCTTTCTATTCCCTTCCGTCAACTGGATTATCTTTATACCATTGCCATTCTATTTTGGTTACTACACCTTTGAAGTGCCTTGTCAATTCATGTCGTTTAACCCACGTCACTCTTTCTGCACAAGTATGCTCTCACTATTTTAGTGGCTTCATATAACATTGTAGGACTTTTTTCCTATTTCTAATAAAAAATGTCATCAGAGTTTTGATATAGGGGGTAGTGACTTTTTAGATCACTTTGGGCATTATGGACACTTTCAGCAATATTCATCCCTTGAGTGCGGGCTGCCTTTCTGTCAGCTGTAATGCACTACATGATGACTTTTCAGTCAATGACACAGCACATGTACAACAGAGGCCTCTTAGGATAAACTGCAGTGATGTCATAGCACTCTTAGTGTATGTTACTATGTTCTATGATATGATACAATGAAGAATCATACAAATATGCATTTCTCAAAATACTGTCCTGTTCAGCCATACATGACTATATCTATGCGTTTATAGTTAGTTCATCCATTTCTGAAATCAGATGACAGAGCAACCAAAACTGTATTTGTTTCTATCAAACTTCAGCTCCAAGCAATATACAGGAAACCAATATGACGAACAACAGTTCAATTTTTAAAAAGCCTTGGTATTTTTCTTGGGCTCGATTTCAATATGAGTCAGAAGTGTGATGCAGGAATCAATATAGCATAATTTTGGGTTCTGTTAGAGAATTAAGCCTGTCTGGAGCACTTTACTCTGCTTTGAGTACCAGATTTTTAAGACTAACACTAACCAGCTATAACTGACAAGAGTTACTGAGACTGGAAGGCTCTAGACAAGTAGTAAGCTAGCAGTTTCTTACCAGGAGAGAACACAGAAGAACTATGTGAAAATAATAATTTAATATTTATTATGCTAACACTTGCAAACAGTAGCAGAAAGATCACAGCACAACCAGATAGGCTGGCCTCAGATATGGAAGAATTTTTCAATAATCTGAACTGCTGCAAAATGTGATGGACCGCTTTCCTTAGTTCCTAGAGGTCAGAAGTTGTAAAGCAAGATTATACGCTGACCAGATAGAAGTGCTGCAAGTGGATTTAGTACAACACAAAATAAAGTCATGCCTCTTAACCTGTGATCCTTAGTCCTGCCTTAAAGGGGTGCTGTGGAATGACAGGGTGGAAGCAATTTCACTGAAGGGGCAAAATGACTAATTTCACATCCCTAGACTCAGCAAAATGTGTGTGTGTGTGTGTGTGTGTGTGTGTGTGTGTGTGTGTGTGTGTGTGTGTGTTCAGTCACTGAAGTAGCTTTTCTGGGATTCAAGGGAGGTAGGGGTGAGGTGGAGAGAAGCATTATGTTTAAAGCAAATAAATAAAAGCTAAAAAACAACAAAAGAGCATGTATTACTATTTCTTCAATTCTAATACTCTGGACTAAAACTACTTGTAAGCTGTATTTCAGAGAGTAACCCCATAATCTCATTAAGAGATTACTGTGAATAACAAGTATGATCATATTTAAAAGCCTCTCTTTATTCAAAAATGGGACTTTTCGGGGAATTAAGCAGAAGACTGTCCTAGCTCTTCATTTCACTTGGGCCAGCACAGTCTACGTCACATCTGACGCAGACTTTCTCATTATCCAGAAAAAACTAATCTTAAAACTAAATGGTTCTACTTCAAAAAAGGCAGTATTTGGATCAAAGTAAGCCTTATATATCTATGATGTTATACATCTTAACAGAGAAAAACATGAAAAAAAATAGTTACTATATAGCCAAATTTGAAGTCGTAGGCAAATGCAAAGTACTATCAAAATGACTTCTCAAAAAAGGAAATCTGATATATACAAGCATACTAAAGGTACAGAAAATGACACATGTAAGATCTAGGCTCTCACATCTTCAGAACACCTTATCTCAAAAGCTACCGAGCAGCGCATGATTCATGTCCACACCAAGCACAGAGGCCACTACAGGCCCCTGACAGAAAGTTGTAAACTACGTTCGGATTTTCTGATCTTATCTAGCTTTAAAAAAAAAATGAACACAAATCTTACTCTACCAGCTTTCTTACATTAGTCAAGCACATGAGATGAATTCTTATCTTAAGTACACTAAAGTTCCATTTTCACTATAGTGTTTCTCAGAGCCAACATCAATATACCGATTGCTCAGGAGTTCTTCTAAAAGCTTATGGTCTACACTGTGCTACAGCACCCTGACTAACAGTCCCCTGAGTCCTCCCAACCACCTAGCCTGGGGACCACAATTGGGACCACTGTTCCCATTCACTTTCACACAGTCTATGAAACCATCATATGCTAAGTCCTACACCAAATACATGTACTTGAGGTCTGAATATAAAACTCTTGCAAACATGAAAGTGCACCTGGGTCTACTGTATCCCATATGTTTTTTTTTTTTTAGTCTGGTATTAATCACAAATGTATAAAATAAAAAATAGGATCATGCAGGCCCAGCATGGTTGCCTGGTAGCTGAAGTCCTTGCTTTGTACACGCTGGGATCCTGTTTGGGCACCAGTTCTAATCCTGGTGACCCCACTTTCCATCCAGCTCCCTGCTTTTGGCCTGGAAATGCAGTCAAGGATGGCCCAAAGACTTGGGACCCTGTACCCGCCTGGGAGACCCAGAAGAGGCTCCGGCTCCTGGCTTTGGATCAGCACAGTTCTGGCTGTCACAGACGCTTGGAGAGTGCATCACTGGATGCATCTCTCCTTCTCTCTGTGTATCTGACTTTCTAATAAAAATAAAAAATGAATCTTAAAAACAAAATAGGATCAAGCAACAGAGTAATCCTGATAATCTTTCAAAAACATCTCACCATGTCTTTGGTTTCATAAAAAACACTTCTTAGAAAAGTAGTAGCAGAAAATTGAGGAATCACAGAGGACCAAAAATGGAAAAATTAATCCTTTTAAAATACTACTTGACTAACTAGCCAACAACATCAGTGACTTTACGAATTTTATTTTAACCAGCAAAAGGCCAATGGGATTTGTTTTTTCCCCTCCCACAAGATCTTAACCCTTTGGGTCCAAACTGTTCATTCGATCTAAACATTTCTAGTAAATTTGAATGTATTTATCAGAAAACTTGAGATTCTCATAAACAATGTTAACAAAACTGTTTACTGGTACTGATTTGAGGCCATAACATAGCATTAAGATTGTAAAGATAACGAAAATATACTGATGATACTTAAAGGGAGACATATGTTTCCATGTTTAAATGAAAATATCTGATAACCAAGTTTCCTTTAGTACAATTAGATAATGGAATTAATATGACAAAGACATTACTCATTGTTATAAGCTCTATACTGTGTAATACTTCTTGTGTGTCTATTTTTAAGAAATGGACAGGGCTGGGTCAAGGCAAAGCAGGCAGTGAGGAACTCAGCCTGGGTCTTCCCACACAGACACCGAACCTGCTGCTTCCCAGGGTCTGCGTGAGCACTGGGATCGAAGCTCTTCAATGTCAGACTCAGCAGCCCACGTGGCATCTTAACCACCAGACCACATGCCCACCCTCTTCAGGATCTGCACTGATTGAACTATGCGCTTATTTTCAATTTTAAAGTATTACAACAGAGTGCACACTGCTCCCATATTTTAACTTATGTATATTTCTGAATCAAATACTTTTTCATTCAAGAAAACCAAAGCCAAGAATCTCTCTCACTTATCTCTTTTTTAATTTACCTTTTACTAATGAATTTTCAAGATTCTTCAATTTAAGGAAGTAGATGCTGAACAAACTTGGGAGTGAACCAGCAGATGGACAATTTCTCTGTCTCTCCTCTCTGCAGATCTGACTTTCCAATAAAAGTAATAAATATACCTTTTAAAAAAACCCATTAGGTAATAACCTTTGGTGTGGGTTACCTTTAATATTTTATTTAAGGAAAGTAACTTTGTTCCTTATATATATGATAATTAGTATGCTGAAATTTTTATTGCATCCAAGCAATAGGCATAACTCTGAAAGCAGATTCTATTCTAGAGGCATGTGCCCCAAAGTGTAGGCACTCTCAAATCGCTTTCACGGTTTTCAAGATGTACTGAGCCTGCTTGCTAAATCACACCAGCCTGTGCGGCTTCTCAAACACCAGGCTTACTGTAAAGACAGCTGTTGGAAAGAGACCCAACCCGTCAGCACCGTTACCTTTTAGCCGGTGACTTAGAATCTGCTCCAGGATAGCTGCAAAGTTGTTAAACTCCGGAGAAGAATCATCGATCGTCTCAAAGCAAGACCGATCAATCAAGGTCTTCACAGAAAACCTGTGCAAAGAGGAGTATTGTTTTTAGGCAGATTTCATTCGTTCACCAAAATATATTTTTAAGGCTGAAAGGAAAGTCACTTGGGGAAGAATTACAAAAACATTGTATTCAGACAACTTCACTCAAACTCACTCTGTAAATAGAGAATTTTAGAGTATTGGGTTTGTCAATCAGATATTTACTATCCACGGCATCTGAATATTAAAGTCCTGTCACATCCACACACTGATACCCAGCTCCTAGTGCAGCAGCACCAGGAGATGGTGGGCCTTTGGGAGGTGACCAGGCTGTGTGGGCAGAGCCCTCAGGAGGCCAGAGGAAGCAAGCGTGACCTCTTCCCATCCAAGGTAGGAGGAAGGGGCCCTTCCCACTCCTAGAACCTGCCACCTGGGTTTCAGAGCATCCAGCCTCCAGTGCTGCTTACAGATTTTCCTAAGACATTCTGTTACAGTGATTTGAAAGAAATAAGGCACAAATGACCAAAGAAGTAGGAACTGCCCATTGTCCCCATAGCCTTTACATCAGGCAACCCAGATATTTTGTACTTCACTAACTATAAAATGTTGAAAAGCTTTGGTGATGCAAATGATCCCTGAAGTGTAGTCTTTAACTTGAATTTTTCTGACTTTATGATGGTGAAGAAGTATACCATACAACCACTGTTTTGCACTCTTACTACAGTATTCAGTAAATTGTACTCATCACTTTGCTATAATTAAACAAGTGTGTGTCAGATGGTTTTGCCCAACTGTAGGCTAACGTAATTGTGCTGAGCATTGTTAAGTTAGGTGAGGCTAGGCCACTTACAACTCAGGTTTACAACTTACATAGCTCCACTGCCAGGTAAATACCATCACTACTTGTGAAAAATTTGAGTTTCGGACTCATATAAATGCTTTTCGAAGAGCTTCTGAGCACAAACAATAACAACACAGAAAATATCAGCCTGTTTCCATGAGCTACCAACAGGAAAACTCACGAACCCGTACTTTTCCTTCTTATCAGAACATCCTTTTTTCTCACTTCTAACTGCCAAAAACCAACATAGTTTTGAACAAGCAGGCATTTTGTGCGTATCTCCCTTAAGTGCCAATTACAATCTATCTGGCTGCCGTCACTGTGTCCTCTCTTATGAGGGTAGAAATGTGCCCTCTGCCTGGTGGAGCTCCTTCAGCACCTAACACAACCTCCGAACCCTGGCCTCAGTCAGGACCTGCTGATGTTCTTAGACGCTCAATTCTGCAAGATTAGCAAGGAAACATGTGAGTGTTAAAACCACAGCAAGACCAAAACCAAAAATTTAGGATGTTTAACATGTACAGATTCAAATGACCATCATAAAGATCAGGACACAGGTGAGTTAGTGGATAGGGACAATTCTCACAAGCCATCCCTTAATAGTTGTACCCTCAAACAGATGATAAATGAATATACAAACAATGCAATGAGAGCTGTTCAACACACAGAAATGAAATCTCCAAAGGACACAAAGATACACACATTGCTTCTCACTTAATGATCATGCAATTTATCCCAACAGAAACTACAAGAGGGGAAAAAGCAGTTTTTTTTCTAATATTAGTTATATCTGTTATTCACTTATTGTTATTTTTCATTTGAGAGAGAGTCAGAGACAGGGCTTTCACCCACTGGCTCTCTGCCCAAATGCCCCCAACTGCTAGGCCCTGAGCTAGGAAGATGCCTGAACTCAAACTCACATCCGGGCATCCCACACTGTGCGGCAACAGCCCAGTGACTTGAGCCCTGTCTCCTTCCTGATGTGCACATTAGGAAGCTGGAATAAGAAGCCAGAGTCAGGAAGGGTATTCAAGGCACCTGCCCCTGCATCTGTTACTTACCATATCAAAAGTTAAACTGGGAAATGTTTAAAACACAAGCAGACCTCACTCAGCAATGGTACAGGACCTTAAGAGTGACTATGCAGCTGAAGCATATAAAAATAACCTTAACCAACAATGAAAAATATTATAACCATTGTTTTACAAATGGCTGTCAAAGCACATAATAACTCCCTTACAGCTAGTTATTACAGAGAAATCTGGAAAATGCTAAAACAGATTCATGTAGTACACCGTAATTTGCAACAGTGAGAATTCAAAGATTTTGTCATTGTAAAAAAAAAAAAAAAACAACAAAAAACAAGTTACAAATTCTGAAGAGCACCTGCCTTATTGTTAACAGAGCAAGCATCTTTTCTCTACCTTGGTAAACTATCACATTCTTCTCTAACTCCAGATCACCTCCCACAATTAATCCTTCACCCCTTCTGTGCTGTAAAACACCTGAGAGAGACCCTTACTGCACATGGCTGTGCTGGCATCGCTGCCCACTGCCACGAGCAGCCCATTCGATCGCTAAGGGCACTGCTGCTGAGCACCAGGCTGCAGTTCCAGGTCGCTTTGGAAAACAGTCAAAACTCCTACCATCAACTGTAATTCCATTCATGTTGCCTACAATTTTAACTTTAGGCATTGGCACTTGTTCTTTTCTGTACTCTCATCTTCAAAAGTTAGCCAATTCCCTCTTTTAACTATTTTTGTAAAACATTGCATGGGTTTATCACTAGGACTCAAGAAGGCTTTCCCTTCCATGCCAGAGCTGAGAAACAGATGCATAATGACCAATCTCATGCAGACTGGTCACTAATGACAACGAATGTGTTTTGATTATATAGGCAGTGCTCTGGGGACTTAAAACACGCACGCAAAGCACGTGTTTTACACACAGAAATGATCCGCTTTATTCAAATGTGGTAATTTAAATACTGGAACCACACAACTGGAAACTACTTCTCTCCACTGATGACAAGCAGAATGGCATATCACATCAGCACAAATATTTTTATGAAAACCCTATTTTCTAAAATAGAAATTTAGCAATAATAGCATTATTAATGTTTAAATCTTTAATACTGTGTTTAGTAGAAGATAAGTAGATTTTCATTTATCCTTCTGTATTCAGTCTTCTCTAATTTTATACATTAGGTAGCTTCTAGAAAACTCCACGACACATCTGTTACAGGATGAGAATAAAAGAGGCAAATCACAGTTTTGGTAGCTGAGACCCTATGCTTGAGTCCTGGGTTCAAATCCCAGCCCCTCTGCTTCTGATCCGCTTCCTGGGATGTGCGCCCTAGGAGGCAGCTCTTAATGGCTCAAGAATTTGTGTCCCTGTTCCCCATGCTGGAAACCCAGGTTAAGTCCTCACTTTTGCTTGGTACAAACATGGCCATTGGAAGATTGGATGGAACCCTTCACTTTGCCTCTTTGTCTTCTACATAAATGAAAATAAACTCATAAATTTAAGCTTAAAATACTAAATATTATACCTTGGAACTGTTAATAGTTTTGATCACTTCGATCACTCACAGGGTCTGGACACAGGTGCACACATCAAGAACCACTACTCTACAGCACCATTTGTATGTAATAAGTGTAATGTTTTTATTCAGTAAGATAGTGAAATGGGATGTGTTCCTGGAAGGATTACACAAAACCACACAATTTCTACAGGGTCTAAGCAGAAGCAAATCGATGAACATTTCTCTTTAATCATTATTAGGAAAAGTAGAATAAGAAAGTTGACCACAGTCATATTCCTCAATTCTATATAGCATGTTAGTATTGTGGGCCGAGTCAGTAGCGTAGTGGTTAAAGTCCTAGCCTTGTATGTGGTTCCTGTCCTGGCAGCCCCACTTCCCGTCCAGCGCCCTGCTTGTGGCTTGGGAAAGCACTCAAGAACGGCCCGAGCCCTTGGGCTCCTGTACCCACATGGGAGATCCCAAGGAAACTCCCTGGCTCTGGCTTCAGATCGGCTCAGCCTTGGCCATTGCAGCCGCTTGGGGAGTAAATCAACAGATGGAAGATCTTCCTCTCTGTCTATCTCCCTCTCTTTATATATAACTTTCCAATAAAAATAAATATTTTTTAAAAGATAGTATTGCATACTCATAAACTAGAAACTAAGTTTTAAAACAATAATAAGTATTTATTTCACTGTTTTAAGGCGGCTAAGTTTGAACTCAATTTCCACTTTCAACAGCCTGGTAAGGTCCTATGGGAATAATACAATATTACCTAATAAATCATCTACCTTAACTGGATGCCTGGGATGATGTCTCGAGTCACTGGGCTCCTGCCATCCTTACAGCAGCCCTGCAGTGAGGTCAGGGCCTCCTGCATCCACCTGGGCAAGTGTGCATTGTGGGCCTCTGTGGAGTGATCAACAGATGACAGCTCTGTCCCTGTTTCTATGTTTCTCAAAAAAAAAATATATATATATATACACATATACATATACACATATATAAACAAATCAGATGTACAGATCAATAGATAATGAACAAAATATACAAATTTTTGTTATCAGATCATGTTTTCTGAGAAGCTATCATTTGCTTAGCAACTTTGGTGCAAAAATCTAACATGATGAATCTTAGGACTAATTTACTTCCGGTTCAATATCTTACTACGAAGTAAATACAAATAAAGTCCAAAAACCCCCACCCAAAAGCCTGGTATTAGGTATACTTTCTGTCACTTTTAAGCATAAAGATATGCAGGGCTGAGAAAGTATATTGAGCAATTTCTACCATATCAAGGTTAATAATGAAGAAAACTAACATTATCTAGTCCTGTTTCATCATTTCTATCTTACTCGTCTCCTGTCAACACAAACTAAAATTTCCTTTGATAAATCAGGTTCTTAGAGTCCTTGTTTTATATCAACTTGCCCAACTATTCTCCATTCTCACTTCTCTAAGACTACATGGTGCTCCACTTACCAGAGAGCTGAGACTCTGCCCTCCCTAACCGTAACTAGCCAAGACCTGCTTTAAACCAAACTGTAAAAAGAATTTCATACATCTAAAAATGCCACACAGATGCTGAGCTATTCCTGATAACGATGACATTAATATTACTCATCCAGAAGGGGACTGATTTTTAAATAACAAAATGACAATTTGATGAATGTCTAAA